CGTGCAGTGCAGGGTCTGCTGGCTGGGTGCTGGCAGGCTTGCACTTGGCGTGGGCACCATAGCCAGACCGTGCCCCTTTAAGGGCTCCGGGGCCAGGAGTGGGGCAGAAGAGTTTCCCTGGTGGTGCCCAGAGTGGCCACCAGGGAAAGCTGGGAAGGGCTGGATTCCCACTAGTTTGAATTAAGGGGCTACACAGCCCTTAATTCGAACTAGTAAGTTCGAACTAGGCTTAGTCCTCACCTAGTTCGAATTAAGTGCTCCGCTAGTTCAAATTAAGTTTGAATTAGTGGTTTGTATGTGTAGCGCCTATGAAAGTTAACTCGAACTAACGGCTGTTAGTTCGAATTAACTTTGTAGTGTAGAGATACCCTAGTAGCCTTAGAGATGCTGGAATTGAGCAATAGCATTCCTCTTAACAATAGAGGGCTGCCCTTGACTGAAAAACTACAGGACCAGGCCAGCTATCCCCGTGCTGTCCCATAATCCAGCACTGGTGGTGCTAGTGGTTGGTCTTTCACATATTCAGTGAAGTTGTTCACCTTTCCTACTTCTCTTCAGAAAAAAATATATGTTCCTCATTAGGCTCCACAAGCAAAAATACATTTGCAAAATGTTAACAGGCCAGAAACTCTTTGGAAATATTTCTGTCATGACCAGCTCCTGCAGATTCATGAAACAAATGGAAGGGCAACCTTGGTAGTTTCTCAGACAGACAGACAGAGAGGGAGAGAGAGAGACAAGACTAAAATAGCTTATGCTGACACCACAATAGTCCATTTTTTGTACGAATTGGCAAAGTTGTCTGTTTATCCTAATTGCTGCTTCACCAGGGCAATATATTTACGTACATACTCAACTTTAAGCATGAATTAGTTTTAATGGGACTCCTGCAGTGTTTAAAGCTAATATTTTGCTGGATTGAGGTGTAATTGAGAAGACCTTGGTCACTGAAGAACCAGTCATGCTGCAATGCATGGGACTAGAGATGGAGACACAAAATTCACACTCCTTATGCACTGAAGAAAGTAGGTTGGCACACATAAGGGGATAAAGGATTTTTCCTTTCCTACTCTACACCATTTTTGCTTATTAACTAAACAAAAATATTCTTCTGTGTCTATGTAAAAAGTACCTATAAAGTCTGATCTGGTCTTTGACTATATATTTTAGCAGTACTGTTCATTCTCAATACTGTGGACAAAACAGTTGCCTGTAGAAATACTTACTGTAGCCAAGCTGAGAAACTATAAAGCTGTGCTCTGGAATATTATGTATACTCGCCAAATTTCCATCTTGCATCTTACATGATGTCAAAGCTTCCTTCCATAACTTGGGCTCTCTATGAATCATATAACAGTGGCCTGTGTATGGCAACCAGCCCTTAGGGCATATAATAGACTGAGCATGATCTAAAATTAAAATAAAAATGATTTTAAGCAATGTAAAGGAGAACAAAGTAAATAAGACTGGCAGCATTTTCTGTTATTGTGTATAAAATACAGGCAATTTAGCTGAATATAGGTGGAATTTGAGGTTAGAAATTCAAGAACATTCTAGTAAATTGAAATATGATCAATATTAAATATGTTAAACTTGAATATCAGTTAAATATGGTTCCTTATAAATTAAACATCTAAATATTGTAAAATACCCAGATTTGAACAGAGACACCAAGTCCAATCTATCAAGTCCAAATGTACTTCAAGGAAATGTACAATGTAGCCCATGGCTGCTCTTTAATACAGAAATGTGGATAATTAAAACTACTGATCCTGTTCAAATGATTATGAAGCACTGCATGCTGTGGTCATCACAGACTGAATCTGCAAATTAGGACAATGAAATTAAATAATTATGATTTATGCCAGTTAGGTCTCTGGCTCCTGTCACCTTCTCAGTATGGCTTTTAGTTATGTAATATGTAGCCACACTGCTTTAGATGAATGAAATAATGAACTTCTTCACTGGGCACTTAATATAAGGATAGAATAATGCCCTTTTATACCAAGCAATATAGAAAATCGTATGTGTCTTCCTGCTTGAGCACAAAGGCACGTATATACACTCACAGGTGTTTGAAAAGTATTGCTTTTGGCTAAAAAACAATGTCTGTAATTTCATACCTATCAAAACATATATCATTTTTATCCTTTGCACATCTTTGCTGACTGCAATTTTTACATAAAATGACCTGATCTTAAACTGACAAACTTACCTGAGGGTATACTGAGGGACTCCAAAGTGGAATTTTCCCTTTTACAAATGTAGCCATGTTTCTCATTACATGCCTGATTTTCCCATGTAGAAGCTCTTCTGGGATTCAGCACTGCACAGAGTTTACCTGGGACTGGAAAGGGGCTTCCTTGAACAAACAAATGAAATAGAGTCTCCATGTAATCGTGCAAAATCATGTCACCAGCGGAAACAATTTATCGTGATCTCTCTTGCCTTTATGATTGTTAAATTTACTAGACACAGATTATCAGTTGCAATCAGTTGCACAGATTATTCAAACTGGGAAAAATGAATAGATTCCAAGGCCACTAGGGACCATTGTGACCATCTAGCCTGACTTCTGGTATAACACATGCCATAGACTTCCCCGAAGTGATTTCTAGGGCAGATCTCTTAGAAAAACAGCCAATCTTGATTTAGAAACTGTTTTGTGATAATCTACCATCACCCTTTCTAAACAGCTCCAGTGGTTAATTATTCTCATCATTAAACCGTTACTCCTTATTTCCAGTCTGAATTTGTCTAGCTCCATCTTCCAGCCATGGGATTACGAAGTAACTTTTTCTGCTAAAGAGCTTTTTATTAATATTTGTTCCTCTTGTAGATACATAGAGATGGTAATCTTACCCTTCTCTTAGTAAAGCTGAATGGAGTGAGCTTCTTGAGTGTATCAATATAAAGCAAGTTTTCTAATCCTTTAGTCAACACTTTTGCATCTGTTTGAAAAATCCCACAGACCCATGAGATGTTCCTTGCTGTCCACCATCTCTGACAGAAGCACAAAGCACGTGCAACTCTGCACTATTGTCATAAGCTTTGCAAGTCCAGCATGCACGATCCCCCAGTATTTGCAGAACCATTGAATCAGCAGCAAACATGATGCTTTTTTGGAGGATAGTCAGCTGTAGAATATAGGGGAGGAACCAATTGCCAATTGATGGTGGCATTCACAGAGCAGCTGTAGATGGTGGAGTGCTGCTTCTGGACCTGAGAAATGAGTACCGACTGATGGGATTGCATCATAGTGCAGGCTTGAGATAAGCCATGGCTGAAGAGCTTTTGGATGTACAAGACCACATTCCTGCCTGGCTGTGTGCCAAGCTCACCCCAGCCATTCAGCAAAGGACACCAACATGAGAACTGCATTCACAGTTGAGAAGTGAATGGTAATTTCACTGTGGAAACTTGCAGTGACGGATGGCTACAGGTCAAAGAGAAAGCACTATGCAGTTGGAAAATCTACTGCAGGGGCCATTGTCATGCAAGGTTACAAGACCATTCATCATTTTCTACTACACAGGACTGTGACTTTCAGCAATGTATAGGATGTGGTTGATAGGATTGCAGCAGTGGGGTTCCCGAACCTTGGTGGAGCAACAGATGACACTTCTATCCTTGTTTTGCCACCAGCCCACCTTGCCACAGAGTACATCAACAGAAAGAGCTATTTTCTAGGGTTAAGCAAGCATTAGTGAATCACCAGGAAAGCTCAGCTGACATCAGGGTTGACTGGCTAGAACAGTCAGTGCTGGACTGAGACATAGTTGCGCCCCGGGCAGCGGGCGGCTGGCGCATGCATGACCCCGCCTCTGGGCACGCAGCCTCCCTTACAACTTCAATCAGGCACCCCCCATAGGTTGGAACCCCAGGCAACTGCCTGGCTAGCCCCCCCTCTTAACCCGGCCATGAGAAAAGGTGCATGATGCTCACATCACTAAAAATATGGACTGTTGAGAAAACTACAAGCAGGGACTTTCTTTCCAGGCTGGCAAATAACCCTTGACAATGTTGAAATGCCAGTACTGATCCTGGGAACACCTAAGTAATCCTTGTTTTCTTGGCTCATGAAGCTATACACCAGCCAGGCTAGGAAATATTTACCTACTGGCTCTGCAGGTACAGAATGATAGAGTACATTTTTGGTAGTTGGAAGAGGAAATCCCATTGTTTTTTCAAACTGAGTGAAAAAACATCTCCGTGATTATAGCTGCCTGGTATGTCCTGCATAATATCTGTGAAGCCAACTAGGAAAAGCTGCCACCTGGGTAGAAGACAGAAGTGGAGCAGCTGTTTGATTAATTTAAATAGCCAAACACAAGGGCTATTAGAAAATAACAAAATAGAGCTATATGTCTCAGGGTAGCTTTGAAAAAGCACTTTAACAGTGAGCCAGAGTCATACAATGTAGTATACGGTACTGTCCCTAGCCCTGCTGTTCTGGGATCTCTTAGGAACTATGTGTTGTTTGCTGCATATCTGTAACACTCTTAATGCACTTATTAATTTTGTTCTGCTTGCTATACATTTCTGACTGTTACAATGTGGTTGTCACTAATCCGATGAGTTGTGTCACTGTACAGCAACAAGTAAGCAGGTGCCTTTAGAACTAAGTACTCTGCCGCATATGTTAGGGTATGTCTACACTACAATGTTAATTCGAACTAACCTAGTTCAAATTAGTTAATTCGAACTAACTTAGTTCAAATTAGTTAATTCGAACTAACTTAGTTCAAATTAGTTAATTCGAACTAACTTAGTTCAAATTAGTTAATTCGAACTAACTTAGTTCAAATTAGTTAATTCGAACTAACTTAGTTCAAATTAGTTAATTCGAACTAATACACTACAATGTTAATTCGAACTAACCTAGTTCAAATTAGTTAATTCGAACTAACTTAGTTCAAATTAGTTAATTCGAACTAACTTAGTTCAAATTAGTTAATTCGAACTAACTTAGTTCAAATTAGTTAATTCGAACTAACTTAGTTCAAATTAGTTAATTCGAACTAACTTAGTTCAAATTAGTTAATTCGAACTAAGCTAATTTGAACTAACGGATCCAGACTAAAAAACTAGTTTGAATTAGCGTTTTGCTAATTCGAACTAGCATGTCCACATTAAGTGGACCCTGAACCGGGGTTAAGGATGGCTGGCAGCAGTGCCGGCAGGGCATCAGAGGAGGACTTAGAGCATGGAGATGCTGTCTCAGGCTAGCCGAGGGCTGCGCTTAAAGGGTCCCGACCCCCACCCCGGACAGACAGTTCTCAGGGGTGCCCCGCTTGAAAACCAGCCCTGGCTTGGATTGCCCGGAGTACCCACACTGGGCACATCACACCACTCGGCCATCAGCCC